GTCCCGCAGCCATTGAAGGGGTAAACCCTGGCCACAGTGCCTATCCAGTTGCCAGCCTGCTAGCATCCAGCCAGAAGACTGTGCACTTGGCACAGGATAAGCCAGCCACCCGCTGCCATCCAGCCCTCCACCACTCCCCAGGACCAGGCTGGCAGCTCCCAGGAGCCTGCCAGGGGCCGCAAAAGGCCGGCCCCTTCCTGGTCAAGTGAGGAGATCGTGGGCCTTATTGAGGTTTGGGGGGAGGCCTCCAATGCCCATGAGTGCCACACTAAGCACAGGAATGCGGCTGTCTACAGCCACATGGCTGCCAGCCTGGCTACCAAGGGGCAGGGGGGGAGCCAGGGGCAGGTCCGCTGCAAAATAAAAGAACAGCGGCTCCCGCCTGGCCACCAGGGGCCAGGGGCGCCAGCCAGGAGCAGGTCCGCTGCAAAATAAAAGAACTGCGGCAGGCCTATGCCAGGGTCTTCCAACCAGGGGCTGACCCGGACGCCTGCCCACACTTTGAGGCCCTGGACCGCATCCTGGGGGGTCAGATGGTCTGTGCCCCCCTGGTCATCATCAACCCCAGGGCAGAGGGCCCTGCCCCTGACACAGGGGAAGAGGAGAAAGAGGAGGATGACGGCAGCCTGGAGCCTTCAGGGAGCCTGCCCTGCACCCAGGACCCCCAAGCCGAACTGGAGAGCCTGTCAGCAGCCTCATCCGAGGCCGGGGAGGCCTCCACATGTGAGTTAATGTAGAGGGAAGCCTGGTGGTCTAGGGCATGGATGGGGGTGTGCGTCCCTTCGATTGCCCCTCCTCCCCCCGCAGTTGGGGAAGCTCAGGGCGCCAAACCCCTGGATGACCGTGTTCAGGTCGGTGAGGCAGACGACTCTGTCACTGGGGTGCTCGTTTGGCTGGGAGTGTTCTTTCCCCACCGCTGCCCTGAGCCCCACTCCCAAGACCAACCCCCACTGCAATCCTGGCCACCGCGGGTGGTTTGTAGCCCGGCCAGGATAGACCAACCTCTCCTGAGGAGGGCACTTACACCACCTCCCTCCTGTTTTCCCTGGGGCAGCCCATGTCCTCCTTGCAGCCCCCATCCAGGCCCACTGGCCAGTGAGTGCCGTACCTGCATGAGCACTGCTCCGACGGTGGATTTCCCCACGCCGAACTGGTTCTCGACTGACTTGTGGAGGGGGATGGCGGGCCTCATGCGAGTGTCCCGTCACTGCAGAGCAGGGGCGAGCCACTCGCAGAGCTCCAGGAAGGTGTCCCTCTTCATCCTGGAGTTCTGGGTCCACTGCCTGTCTCCCCAGCGCTCCAGGACAATGCAGTCAGGGAAAGGCTGTCTGTGCCCTGCTGGAATGAGAACTCGGGCCCCGTGGAATGTAAGTGCGGGGTTGGGTGACCTGCCCCTCGGGAGGGGCGTCTCCCAGGAGCTGTTCAAGGGCACTGAATGGGGGAGGGGGGACCAGCGCCTTGGGAACAGCCCGTCCGATCGCCTCGAAAGGGGATGAGCCCCAACCTCTTCCCCAGCCCTGAGCCCCAAAACCTGCATCCCCAGCCGCAGAACGTTTATGGAAATTTCCACTACAGGCATCTGATGAAGGGGGTCTTTGCTCCAACACTTCGGTTAGTCTCTAAGGTGCCACAGGACTTCTCGCCGCTTTTGCAGATTCGGACTAACACGGCGACCCCTCTGATACTGGACAGTGCCCCCCAAACTCCTCTTCCCCCACCCTCCTGTCCCGGGCCAGAGCTCTGAGTGTGCCACCTTCTGCCCCAGGCTCCATTTCCCACCCCCCGGATTTCCTGCTCCGTGATCCAGGACAGCTCACGGCTGCGGCGTCACCGGAGTCGGAGCCTTGGGAGACGCTCGGCCTGGCTGGGAAATTGGCCCCTCTGGCCAGGGCGGGTGGGGAGGGGGCTTTTATGGGCAACCTCCAACGTCCTGCAAAGCCAGGACGGGCGGTGACGGGCACGTCCGAAGGGAGCAGGGAACAGGGAGAGGCTCCGGATAACAGACGGATGGAGCGACGCCCTGGGGCTTGGGCAATACAGGGCAGTGGGGATGATGAGGATCAAACTCCACTCCGTGACCGTGTCTCTGGGTTCCCAGTGCCCCAGGAGAACAGCACCTTGAACGGGCTGCAGTGCCCGGCCTGCCTGGCTTTTGGTGCCCAGACCTGCACCAGCCAAATCATCCATTGCACCGGGGAGGAGACGTACTGCGGCGATTTCACTGGGATCCTACGAGGTAAATCCTGCCAGCTGGCCGCAGGGCGGGAGGGAGCTGGGGAACCTTCTGCCTCAGGCAACCCCTCAAGAGCTGGTGGGACCCAGAATCTGTGCGGAGCCCTGGGCGGGTGGGACGGCCAAGAGGGGTTCTGGCTGGAGGGAAGGAGAGAGGAATTGGGACGTTTCCCACCCAGCCCAGCTCCCCGCCTCTCCAATGAAGCCCAGGCTGGTGGTTTGGGGAGGCAACGCCTTCCCTTGCCGCACACACCGGCTGCCCCTGATTTCGTGCATCAGCCCCCATGTGGGTGAAAGCTCTGCACATGTGCGTGCTCACTGGGCCCTGTCTTTGCAGGTCGCGCATGGCCAACGGGTTCCCTGTGGGACAGCTCATGTAACCCTACTGTAACAGATCGAGCCATCACCCCATCGGGCACCCGCCAGAAAAGTCACAGGCAAGGAAGCCGACTAGCCCTGCTGGTTATCCCAGAATGCAATTCCCCCATCTGGCACTGGCCGGCCCCCAGAGTCAGCAGCCTAGCTGGAGCTGAGCACTGCAAGGTGGGTCTTTGCCTCCCACCCTGCCGCAACCCTCAGATGCATGTGGGTCCCCTGGAGAGCCAGCATCTATGCAGCACGGCTAACTAGCACAGGCACTCCTTGGGCAACCGTCCCTCACAACAGGTGGGGCAGGCCTGCAGCCATCTTCCAGACACAAACATTTCAATACAAGCCCAGGGAAATGGGGGGATGGGTTATAACCTCTGCCATGTGTAAGGGGGGATGCAGGGGCACAGGGAGCGCTGGGATGTCTGCTGGGATTTGTTTGTGAGGTCCCTTCAGGATTCCCTGAGCAACCCTGCTCCCCACCTTCTCGTTCTCGTGTTAATAAACCTTTCCATGGTCGATGCCAACGGACTGGCCCAGGGGGCTCCTGTGTGTGAGACACGAGGTACTGGGATTTGTTTGTGAGGTCCCTTGCTGGCCAGAGCGGTAGCTCAGGTGCTCGGTGTGGCTGGTTCGGTGCCTCATGGGGAAGGACCCCCGTCGGGGGCTGCAATTCACCCTGATTTGACCCTCTCAGCAGTGCCCAGACCCCCCTGACATGTGACAGGTGGTAAAAGCTTTTACTGAACCGATTTCTACTGGGGAGAGACACCAGCTCTCGGGCACCACTGTGAGTGCTGGGAGCACTGCGATGAGCTGTGAGGGGTAGGAGGGAGGGGAAGTGAACTTTGCAGATGAGGCAACTTATTGCAGTTCCTCAGAACTTAGAACTGGGTGACCTGATGGCGCGGGGTGGCCGGTCAGCGCCATGGCAGGGACACGCTTTCTGGACCCTGCCAAAGTGTCGCACGTCGGGAGGGGCCGGGCGGGTTTGGAGCACCCCAAGACCAGACGGGCTCTGACTGAGCTGTGCGAATCCAGGGACAGAACCAAGCTTCCCCGTCGGAGGCTCAGTGGCTCCCTCAGCTCGCTGTGCCAACGCAGGAGAGAGAAGCC